CAGGACTTGCTGGAAGGATTATGTATCCCCTCTGGTCTGGGAACGTCTCGGAGTCCCCCAGAACGAGCTGGAAAGTGTCGCTGGGGAGAGCGGGGTCTCTCTGCCCACGCGACCCGATCCCGGATAAGCAGGGGGAAACGGACGAACGGACAATTTATATTGTTAGTCTAAATTATTACATTTAAAATTATAACTCTAATTCAAGCAGAATAGCCATTGTCAACATAATTATGGAGTGTGATTTATTTTCATCTAAAAATATCTTCAAACTAACAAAATATAAAGTTATTAGGGAGGAAAATCCATCTGGATAACAGCAGACTGACTGTTCGTAAAATATACGACAGGTCTGGACCACTCGTGAATTTTGTTCATATCTGAGAAAAAACTTTGAACACGAAAACATTGGTGAATGCCACAAATTCTCCTAAATCATTATACGCACAACTTAAGAACAAATTTGTGCGTACGAACGGTTCTTGCATGAGGCCCATTGATCTTGCAAACKTTTCAATTGAAATCGAAACTGTAACACATTTAAATTAGTTGATACCAGTGTCCCAGTATTGATGTTGGTATTGGTATCGGTCTTGAGTATCGGTGCATTTTGTACAAGCACGAGTACTTGTACAAAATGCTGGTATCAGGTCCGGTACCAATATCAGTATCTGGACACTATTTGTTATCTATTAAATAGATTTGTTTGCACTTGGAGTGTGTTGTCAGAAGTCATTCTCACTCCAAACTCCTCACATTTCGACGCTTGTCCAAGGTTACCTCTGCATCACGTTTCGATGCGTCGGGTAATCCTTTCGCTTCAGTTATTGACGAGATGAGAACAAGGAGGAGGAGCCAGTTGTCATATTTTTTAAAAGTGTAGAAAATGCACAACTAACCATCCGAAACCCTAAATTTAACTTCTATTAGCTCTATATACCCTATTTCACTACCTAAAATTAACCTTTAACCTTGATCGCTAATGTTAACCATTTTTGAAAAGTGTAGAATATGCACAACAAATAATCGTCCCAAACCTTAAACTTAACTTCTACTATCCCTAGACATCCTATCACTGACCTCACAACCTAAAATTAACCAGTAATCCTGATATTAACCATGGACCCCAACCCAGAGACTCTATGTGGTGTACAGAGCAATAATAGACTAAGGTCATTTGGATTAGGTTGATTACAAAATTGAACTACCTGTAACTGCATATCCAGTTATGAGCTGTCTGAATGACATAAAAATCTGGCTGAAATGAAAKTTCCTGAATCTAAATGAAAGTAAGACAGAAGTCATCAGCTTTGGTAAAGACATTTCTCCTGACAATCTTGGTCCTTTGGCTTCATACAGCTGCTCTGCTGTCAGAAATTTGGGTTTCATTTTTGATAATGTGTTCAAATTGGACAGGCAGATAAATTCAGTGGTTAAAATGAGCTTTTTCCAGCTAAGACTTATTGCTAAGGTGAAGCCATACCTCCCAAACAAAGACCTTGAGAAAGTGATTCATGCTCTCATTACATCTCGTTTGGATTATTGTAATTCTCTGTATGTTGGTTTAGATAAATCTTCTCTGCATCGATTACAAGTTGTCCAGAACGCAGCAGCTCATCTTTTAACAGGAACTAAAAAATACAAACACATATCCCCGGTTCTGGCTTCCCTCCACTGGCTTCCTCTTCATTTTAGGATAAATTTTAAGATTTTATTGCTTACTTTTAAAGCTTTCAAAGGTCTGGCCCCATCCTACCTGAGTGAGCTTATTAACATCCACACTTCAGTTAGAGCACTTCAGTCCAACCAGTTTCTCTTAGATGTTCCTGGATCCAGGCTAAAGTTTAGAGGTGATCGGGCCTTTGCAGTCTCTGCACCAAACCTTTGGAATGGTTTACCTCTTAGCATACGGACTGCTGAGACTATTCAATTCAATTCACTTCAAAAATACTTTATTGATCCCAGAGGGAACTTAGGTGTTGTTGTAACTCATTTAACCAAAAACTTATTGTAGATGCTGATGGCTGTGGGCAGGAAAATTGAGACTGTTACTAGATATTGAGACTGTTAAATCTCTACTTAAAACTCATTTTTACTCCCTGGCCTTTCATTCGGGTAGAGTTTGAGATTATTTTAAAGATAATGTTTTTGATGTTTTTCTGTATTTAAAATGGATCTTATTGTCTACATTTATGTGTTGCTCTGTTGTTTTATTCATTTGGTTGAATTGTGAAGCACTTTGGTCAACTTGTGTTGTTTTAATGTGCTATATAAATAAATTGACATTGACATTGACTTCTGAGAGCTTCACAAACATGTTCATTGGTTTGTGTTATATTTTGCTAACAAACAAGGTTAAACCTTACAGTTAATGTGAAAGTTTTAATCAAAAATAATTTGAACTCTGTACCTGTTAAATTGGCCATAATCAGCTCAGTATGGCCATTTTGGTTTTTGGTTTGTTAGCAGTGTCATTTTGAATCAAATTGACTAAACATATGACAGTCGTAGATATACTGTATAGCCCAATGATTATCTTCTGAGAGTTCCATTAATATTCATTCGGTGATGAGATATTTTGCTAATGCTACAAACCCACAAACACAGACAAAAAYATRATCTGCTTTTGTTTTYAGTGAATGGTGTTAACCATTTTTAAATTAAATACTAGTACAGTGTCTGACTCTCCTGTCCACCCAGCCTATTATTTAATGCTGACTGTAGACGAGCTCCACCTCTTTGATTAGTGGTATTTCATCAGAAARTGTTTGATTTGTTTCTCCGCCTCTGCTGGCACAAATATGCCAGTGCTACTCACAAAGAACACCCACCAGCATATTCTCAATACATTTGTCAGCAAAGTGCTCAGCAGCACATCATCAAGTTCTGACCAAAGGTTAGCAGAGAGTTTTTCCTTCACCTTTATGAAATGTGTGAACTTTTTCTGTTACTGGCCACACTCCATATTAGTGCCGCGAACTTTCCAGACTCCTTGATGCTTTGTGTTCCTCCACACAAATAGCATTTGTTGTGGGACTACAGTACTTTTTTTTCTTCCCGTTTCTCCAGAATGCAGATGACCTCTTGGTAGCTTCAGCAGAGTGTCCGAGTGATGACGAAGATTTGGAGGAGTGCGAGCCTGGAAATGGTGAGTCAGCTCAGAGAGTTCTGTCTTCAATGTGTTTTATTCAGAAACTGTTTTTTTTTTTAGTAGAAAAAGAAATAAGAACTCTGCCTGTTTCCACACTTATAAAAGACACTTAGTGACATTGCAGGCCCACCCTGTATGCAGCTCTGATTGACCAGATGTGTACACTTCAAGCAATTTTCTTCTTGGTTTTCGAAGCAGCAGGAAGGCAGCCATATTGTGCTCCTTCAATTGCTCAGCAAAGTGGTAATATCTGGCATTTACCCAGCTGTTGCACCGATCTCCTGCCCCGACTTTAACAAAGACGGACAGTTTCAATGTGGGAATGCAGTTTTCAGTGTGCAGCATGCAGCTGTAGCCTGGCAGACCTGGTGGTTGAGTCACTATCACCGTGAACGGTGGGTCAAGCATTGTTCCGACACAGCGACAGGACAGGGAAGTGAAAGGCCACATGTTTTACTCACAACCTCTGTGCTCTCCAGCTTTATTATTCTTAAAAACTGYCAAGAACCATGTTTGTACAGAGAGGTGGTGTGACCCAAACGACTCTAACTACAAAAGAAGCCCTTAAGGAGTAAAAGGGCAAGAAAAAAGTTTATTCCTGAAAGATACAAGATTTTTTTGTTGAGTAGAATTCTAGATTTAACAAGCATGTTGGTAATATAAGATATATAGTGTCTGTACTGTACATGATGATATGCTGTTCAAATTTCTWATTAAAATAGGGTATTCATAGTTTGGTTTGCACATTAACTCTTAAAACTGTTTAGTGCAGGAAGCCTCTTGCCCAATTGTTTTTACAGAGAGGGCCAAAATGAAAATCTCTCTGGGGCTGGGGGCCAAATGCAGTAATATAATACATGACATATACATTTTAAGTAAAATACTTTATTTTTAATGATTAATCAAGCAGCCAGTCCACTTGGAGAAAGCCTGCCATACGCTCAAGCAGCAGAGGCTCATGGGACATTTCATATATAATAAAATAGGAGTTTTTGTGGCCTTATAAAGTGTCCAAATCTACATGTGTTGTTAAATCTAATCTAAATATCACTGGTTGTTAAGTGTATTTCATGTATCAAAGATAAAGTCAGCACCGTGAGTGAAAACTATTTGCACTACAGCCACTTATAAAGTCACTGGGCCAATGGATAAAATTACTTTAAGTGGAAATACTGTTCCTACATAGTATGACAGGTTACAACCTAATAACTATGGYAACTGCTGGTGGGCCAAATCAAAMGGCTTGGACGGCYAAATCTGGCCCATGGGCCCCACTTTGGGATCCTCTGCACTAGAGTTTAACTCTGAACCAGAAAATTCCTTAAAGATCTTCTGGTGCTAAAGATGAACTGTGCAAGATTCTAACATAAGTTTTTTTTATAGAATATACATGTATAGAAGATGTCAAAAGACCAACTACGTCAAGGCAGCTGCAAATTTGTGCTTGTCACTGCCCGACTGCCAAGTTAATGACAGGCAGACGAAATTACAGACTGAAAAGTAAACCTCAAACAAACGTTTTCTTTGTGAAAAAAGATCTTAAAGTTTCTTGAATCACGAGCAGCAGAAATCTTTGATGTAGCAGATATGACAACTAAAACAATTAATTGCACTTCCAGTTTTAGGAGAATATGTAGAACTCAAGTATAAAAACTTGTCTATGGAAGCTTGGTTGCTCTTTGCATTCTGGGGCATTTGAGAGAACAGTCTAAATCCTATAGCAGAGTGAAAGAAGGCAGAAAAGGTGTGTTTAAATGTATAAATTGTAAATTTACCAAAAAAAATGAAAAATAAAACTTTGGGGTATAGTAAGAAGTTTGTTTGAAGAAGATTTTAATCCTTTATCATTTTTTACATAACAAACACAGAAACTGACCACTGATAAAATATGGTAGAGAAAGTATTTGTTGTTTGACTGACTTCAAACCATATTTATAAAAATACAAAATCAAACAAATGCGTTAATCTGAAAGGATTAAACTGGAAGCATCACAAGTTTGACGGAGCTTTAACTGTTGGCATATTTTCTACAAATTATCTTACCCATCTCCAAATTAAACCAACAGATTTGAACTGACAACAGGTTTGTGTTACTGCTAACTATCATAATGTTTAGTGTTAGGTTACTGAGTTCTTTTATACATTTACTGTTAGCACATCTAATATTTTTGTTTAGGGGTTAGTGAATCTAAGTGTTTGGTTAGCTATGCCCAATCCTTCTGAAAAGTAAAATCAACTGAAAGTTAAAATTAGGAAACCCATAAATAAAAGCTGTATGTATGAAARAAACTGTAAACAGAAGAAGAGAGTTCTTCATGCAGTGATACCCTTTATTATCAACTCAAGAAGACACAGCTCCAATGATTTGGTGTAAAAAAAATGCTAAAAACCGGGAATTGGAAAAAATTTAATCAGTTTATATCAAAAGTAAAAACTGACAGAAAACAGAAAACGAGAAGAGAATTGATAACAGCACTTTGCTTTCAAGAGAACAAGGTGGGAATGGGGATTAGAGCTACGGTCGACTTTAAATAGCAGCAGATTACGGTGCATATCGGTACATTGGAGTGAAGAGAAAAGATCTGAAAGCGTGTTCAGGAACTGTAGTGCAGCATTCTCCTGCAGTTGTCTCTGTAGGTGGTTGGGACCAAAATAGAGCCTCAGTTTTGCTCTTATCAAAAGGAGAAACGAGAACATTTCGCTGAATGCWATGCCCAGGCTTAATCTCCTGTGGGGAAATACAACTCTCTCTTTTTGCCCACACGCACAAACACACACAGTGACAGACCTGCTCACCTCTCCAGACAGACACTTGCCTATCTCACTCTGTGGGTGGAAAGTTTTCTCTCTCAGCAGGCTCGACCCTCCTGAGAAACACACACACACACACACACACACACACACACACGTGCTCCGTATCACACCTTCCAGACATCGAAACAGTTCCAGCTTGGCAAACCAGCCAGGACGGATAAGCTTCTGTGAAAGCTGTGGACAAGGACAGAGGAATCAACAACGTCCATGACACATGTCTCCCACCCTCCTCCCTCACCGCTCCACAAACACACACAGGCCTGTAGTCATTGTGTGATAGGACCCAATCCCAGTGTTTTCAGTTACATGCGAGAGCGARCTGGGTGTTATCGAGCTGCCTTCAGGAAGGACAAAAAAAATGTTAAACAGGACTGTGGACTTTTTATTAAGCTGTGCCAGATATGACTGCTGTGAATTCATGAGGATCAATGCAGCTCATTCTTGTACACAACCAGTGGAACTCTATCCACTTCACAGACGTGTTTACCTGCAGCTGAGAGCTCAATGCAACTCAAACCAGAGGAGTTTGGCCTTTAAACGCCAGGCGACGACCCTTAAAGAGTTGAAGGCGTGGCATTACATGAAGAAATGCATATTGCCTGTCACCTTTCCTGACTGGGTTTAATATGAAAAACATGTTATTATTAATTATAATAGTCAAATCCTGAGAATAACACAACATGCACTGTAATGCTGCATTTCACGCATTGCAGAACGTGTTGTGAATAAATCTCATCTGGTTTTCATCTAATTGTAGCTCAATATTTGTAAAAAAAAAAAAAAAGTAATTGAGTTTTAGCCATCTTTTCAATTTTAGCTAAAGTCATTTAGCTGTGGCTCCAAAAATTGATTGGTTATAGAGGTACAGTATATCTAAATGTTATTTCCTGAAATTTTTACTGAATTCATTTGGTGGTTTCATAAGATATTTTACTAACAGACAGGTTTGATTCCAAATATTTAATGGCAGATGTAATACATCTAAACTCAATATATGTAAAACTGATTGAGGTAATACCAGTTGTGTTGTTGACATACTGTACATCCAGTGATTAGTTTAAAAAGCTTCATTAAAATCCATAAACTGGTTCATGAGAAATTTTGCTAACACAACAGAACTTACAGACATAAATGCATTCTCGCCTTTGGCGGTGGGCACTAAAAAGAGCAAKACGTGAGGTGGAGGTGAACAGGAACGGGCTGGCTCTTATTGAGATGTGTGTCACGTTCCTTTGCACTAAAAGCAGAGCAGAGACAAGTGAAAATGAGGATCCAGTGGGAGCTAGGGAGGGAAAGGGATGAGGAAGCCAAAGAGAAGACGCAAAATGGGGAGCGCAAGCAGAGTGAAATTCACATGAAAAAACTCTGCCTTTCCCTGTAGGCTAATTAAACTTTGACTGTTAGGGAACCTTAATTACATCACCCAATTACAGCTTTGGTCTGCATCGTCCACGGCTGGTAATAGGCCCATGTGAGTAAAGACCAAGGACTGTGAAGGACTGGTTGTACTGCAGAGACTGAGCGAAGAAGTGATGGTGGACACAGAGGAATGGCACTTCACATAACTGATTATTGGTTTCATAGCATACCACAGCGTCAAAACTACTAAATATTTCAGCTGTTTCATTCTTATAGTTTCAGTGCTCAAAAACAACAGAGACGGTGCATGTTTTTAATTTCCCTCCTGTCATTCCGTTGCAGARGTGGCCGTGCGTTTCCGAGCAAGGCTTTCAGTGGTGTCCTACCCTAATAAACGCACATCTTAATACCATAATTATGATGACACAGTCATCATTACACAGTATAACAAAACCTTGCATTGCAGACGTCGTTAGTCTTTAACGGTTTAGGCCAACTATCAGCGTACCATACAGCTGAATCCCAAAACACTGGCAGATATCTTAGCAACATTTTCAGTAAGTTCCAGGGTCATTAGCTATAGGTTAGTTAAAATACTGTAATGTCCATCAGCATGCAGAGAACATGAGCCAGAGCCGACTGTGCCTCTGAGCAAAAAACTGGAGAGCACAAGCTGCTGTCACAACCACAACTCACACTGGACCCTGTTTTAACCCCTCGATTCTCCGTTGCTCTCCTCTTGTCTCTCACACACCTCCCCTTTGTAACCTTACAGCATTAACCCTTTAAAGGGGCAATATCATGTAAAATCAACTTTTTTGAGT